GATCATCTGCTCCCCTCCACATTCTAGATTTTGCTGATTATATCCCCCCTAGTGTCACTTGACGTCTTCCTCTATTCCCTATATTTTCTGAAAACCAGTAGTTAAATCCACCTGAATGAGTAGGTTCACGTTCATTTGTTCGACATCAAAACATCACAGACAGCACCCAGTGACCTGCAGAGGGGAAGTCTCTAGCCTAAGCTCACGAAGCTAATGAAGAACAGAACCAGGGCTAGAATTCGGTCTTCTGTCTCCAAGCCCCTAGCATCCCACCCCATCCCAAAACTGGATTCTAGAATGGTCTCCTTGGAATGAAAGGACAGTTGTTTGTCATTGACTCTTCTACCTCCATTATGAGAGAAGCCAGCAGAGGAGTGGTGGGAAAGGTCCACACTTTCTTTGACATATGGTAATATTTTTATTTGCAGCGGGTGCTGGCAGGGAGGGGTCTCCCCAAGCCTGGGTGGAGCTGTGTGGCATCTGCTTTGCCAGAGGACTGCAAATGCTTTGTTTAGCCAGAACTCAGTTCTCCGGGCATCGTTCTCAGCCTCTCTCTCCTTTTCAACATCGAAAACCAGTTCACCTGGGTGAACGCTGACAGGCCCATTTCATCTCTTTGACTTGCTCGTTTTCATTGGTGGGAAAGAGGTGTATGTGTTTTGCTCACTGGCAAAGCTGGATGCCTAAGGAGGTGCATGGAATTCCTATTGGTGGAATAGGAAGGGAACACCAATGAGCAGGCGACCACTCTATGCATTTCCCAAGTAAGCCTACCTCCCCCCACCCAATTCTGCTACCCTGATCTTGAGGATGTCAGAACCAAGGCTGTGTAACACAGATAAACAGAAATATTCCTATCACAAGAGGAAGAAACCCACCCCATTCCCAAAGTGGGAGCAGGAGTGAACATGGCTCAAATACGCAATAATGATGAGCGATGGCATTTACAGAATACTTTGTTTCATCTCACAACAGCCCTGCAAGGTGGAAGGTAGGCCCTGCTGCTACCTGAGTCTGCAGATGAGGAAGAATGTGCGGTCACACGATTTAGTGACAACAGAATGCAAGTCCAGGTTTTTCTCATTTCGTGTCTGTGACTTAATTAATAGGTTACAAAATCAGCGAGAGCTATTAGGGCGGGGTAGTTAGAAGGGAGAATTCGTAGGGTTTAGGTAATGCACCCTGGGATCCCCAGTTATTAGGGACCAGTCATCTTCCATTTTAAAGTAGTGTCTTTTTGTTTTGTTTTGTTTTTTGTCTTTTTGGTTTTTCTTTTTGTTTGTTTGTTTTTTGAGAGTTTTTTGCTATAGGGTGTGGGCACTCACCAGAAAGACAGAGAGACAGAAAGTGAGAAATCATCCCCTGGGGGGATGGTCACACTGCAATCCCTTCTCCTCCATTCTCCTCTTGGGATCTTGGGCACGCACGCACATGCGCCCAGCGTGAGTTTAAGGCACCGGGTTTGGGAATCGAACCGCAGTTGACTACATGGGAGTCCAGTGACACAGACATTACGCCATCTGTTGGTCCCAAGTGTTGTTTCTAATTTGCTACAGGGTATGTGTATTCACCAGAGAGAGCCACAGAGAGAGAGGGAAAGTGAGAAAGCACACTCCCCCGCCCCCCTAAAAAATAAGGGATGGCCGCGCCAAAATTCCTTTCTCCTGCATTCTCTCTCAGGATTTTGGGCATGCATGTGCATGTTTTTCAAACCATCAGGTTCCAGACTAAAACTACATAATCAGCCATGTGGGATCCAGTTACCTTAACCGCCATGCCACCAGCTAGCCGGTCTATTTTAACCCAGGAAATGTTAAAGGAATGTATTAAGTGCATTTGGGACAGGAAGAGTCCACCAGGAATTGACTCTGGAGAAGCCCCAATTTAGCACCATCCTGCTCTTTCTCAAGTCCAGGATCCTCAGGGAGGACTGTCAGGGTCATATATGGCCCATGCAATGCCTTAGCGTCAATCTGAAAGTAGCACCTCGTCTGGGTGTATGAACTGCAGAAATGTGCTCCCTGGGAGGGTCATGCTGCAAAGGTACTGTCTGCACTAGGGCTCATTGCACGGCCCCAGCGAAGCAGGTCTCAGCCCCTTCCATGTCCCTGCTGCTATAAGGAAGAGCACAGTGGAGCCCTGGTGAGCTAATCTCACTTCCCAACCAGGACTCTTCACACGTGTTAAGCCCAAGCTGAGCTATTGCCGTGTTCTGGTGGTTCACATGACTGTGGTCTCGTGTCAGCTCATAGGCGTGTGGGACCCAATTACTAGATTACTCAATGTGCCAGTTTTCTTTTTCTTTCTCTTTCTTTTCTTTTCTTCTATTCTTTCTTTCTTTCTTTCTTTCTTTCTTTCTTTCTTTCTTTCTTTCTTTCTTTCTTTCTTTCTTCTTTCTTTTTTTCCTTTACCACATTCAAGTTTGTGGCAGCCAAATTTCCCCCAGTGTCACTGGTTTGACTCACGGGGCCAGGCTGGCATTACATAAACAGGCAGCGCAGAGGTCATGACCTTCAGCACACCATCTCTTTTCCATTGGGTGCGCTTCTGTCATTGACGTCTGCAAAGGAGCATGAAAATGAATTGGTGTTCTAGCAACACTGTTTAAACCAGGCTACACACGCAAGATAAATGTGAGCCAGTATGAATCGCTGATGGGAAGAAACATTAGGAAGCAAATAAATATAAACAATGATCGCAGCTAACTTAAGAATGCTTAGAAAAATCCAGAAAGATGGGACCGGCAGTTAGCGTAATGGCTATGTCGCTGGACTCCATGTAGTTGACCGCGGTTCGCGTCCCGGACCCGGTGGCTTAAAACTCATGCCGGGCGCATGTGCATGCGTGCCCAAGATCCCGAGAGGAGACTGGAAGAGAAGGGATTGCGGCGTGACCATCCCCTCTGGAGGGTGATTTCTCGCTTTCTGTCTCTCTGTCTCTGTCTTTCTGGCAATCGCATGTGCTCTGTAGAAAAATTCTCTAAAAAAAAAAAAGAGGGAACCAGCAGTTAGCGTAATGGCTATGTCGCTGGACTCCATGTAGTTGACCGCGGGTCGCGTCCCGGACCCGGTGGCTTAAAACTCATGCCGGGCGCATGTGCATGCGTGCCCAAGATCCCGAGAGGAGACTGGAAGAGAAGGGATTGCGGCGTGACCATCCCCTCTGGAGGGTGATTTCTCGCTTTCTGTCTCTCTGTCTCTCTCTGTCTGTCTGGCGAGCACACGCGCCCTATAGTGAAAACCTCTTAAAAAAAAAGACTCAAGAGCTAAATGGAAGAGACTCTAACCTTCTAAAGGCAACACAGTTCAAGCATCAAGAATTGCAGTGGATTGAAATACAGCAATGTTTGTAAACCAATGGGTTTTTAATTATGCAAGGAAAGCAAAAACAAAACAAAAAACCCTTCCCAAGTTACTCTTAGAGGAGCTAGAAAACAATTCTTTTTTTTTTAATTAGTAAAAATAGAAGGAAAAAATTTAAGTATTTATCCTGCTTTTATTGTGTAGAGCTTAGGGTAACCAAATAGCTTATGAAGGAAAATGTTTTATGGAGTTATTACAGATAATACGTGGAGCAGGGATATTAGAATAGCACCATTTCAATCTCTGATAAACAGCTTAGGCAAAGGACGCTAACGTTACAGAAAGACACACAGCCAAACGGTACGTGCTTCCTGATGGAATGATCGCACCTCCATCCATGAAGTGTTCATACCAAAAGAAAAATAATCTAAATCAGGTTGCACTTTTACATGGGACTCCCAGTTTATAAGAAATGCAGGAGGCAGGGAAATGTTTTAAATGGCACCATGGAGGATGAAATCAGCAAAATCCAGGCTGTGGACAACTTAATTTCGTCAATGTATAGATTGCAAAGGGAAAGGGAGGGGTGGCATACAGATTGAAAGAGACTAATTGCGATGAACTTACTTGGATTCTGTTTTGGGGTAAAAGCCTTTAAAACATTTTTGAGGCAATCAAGGAAACTGAAATACTGCCTGGATATTTGAATTAATTAAGAAATTATTCTTCATTTTTTAAGGTGCAATAACAGCTGTAGTTATACCATTAAAAAATAATCCTTGCCTGGACCAGCAGTTGGCATAACGGCTATGTCACTGGACTCCCATGTAGTTGACTGGGGTTTGAGTCCCGGACTCGGTGGCTTAAACTCATGCTGGGCACATATGCGTGCGTGCCCAAGATCCCGAGAGGAGAATGGAGGAGAAGGAATTGCAGCGTGGCCATCCCCCCTGGGGGTGGGGGGTAATTGCTCGCTTTCTGTCTCTCTCTTTCTTTCTGAAGAGCGAATGCGCCCTATAGCAAAACCTCTCCAAAATAAATAAACAAATAAATAAAAATAAATAACCCTTATCTTGGGCAAGCCCATTGCTTAGTGGTTAAGACAGCAGGATTCCTGATGGCTTTGTGGTTGAGTCTAGGACTCAGCAGCTTGAAAAACACACCAGGTACATATACCTGTGTTCCCAAAATCCTGAAAAGAGGGAAAAATGGAGAAGAAGGGATTGCAGTGTGACCATGCCCCATGGAATGTGGGTGCTGTCTCTTTCTCTCTCTGTCTCTTCCTGGTAAATGCAAGCACCGTCAGGCAAATTTTTTTTAAAAATTGTGTCTTTTAGAGTTGTATTATGAAGTGTTATGGATGAAAATATGATTTCTTTTACTATTTTTTTTTAACTGCCAGGGGTACGTGCGCTCAACAGAGAAAGAGAAGGAGATGAAGAAAGCACCTGCTTTAGGGGAAGGTCAGTCCTTTTTCCTCCTTCTCATTAGATTTTGAGCACATTTGCACATGAACCCTGCGTGTTTTTCAAGTAGCCAGGGCTGGGATTCGAACTACTGTCAAATACATGTGATCTAATTTCCAATGCACAACATTTAAAGACTGCACTCTGGAGCCAGCTCGGGAATACAATTTTTAAAATTTGCTTTAATATGTTTCAAGAGTAAATGTGAAGTAAATGTAGGATAGATGGGAGAGGGATCGGCCGCGAGTTGGTTGTCATCCTAGCAGAACAGCCTGTACATAATTTCGAATTAAACTACAGAAGTTCCACTGCAACCTTGATAAAGATGTCTAGAAACAAACAAACGGCCTATGGGCGAGCAGACCACGCGGCTAGTAGGAGGAAGATGCACTCTGAGAATGCCCACTTGTGTGTTAAGCCGGTTAGGGTAACACTTCACAGAGGGAATGGAGGTTGTATCAGTTAATCTGGTGAGTTCGTTAAACGGCCATCACTTAAGCGAACTCATTACATACAAGTCAACAGTGATTCTGTTGGTGTTGCATAGTCTTCTATACCAGCTTTTTGGTCAGTTTACTTCTTTGAAAAGAGAGAGAGACCGAAAAAAGAAGAGAGAGGAGAAAGTCAAGAACTCTCAGAGTGTTATGCTGCAGCCCACCACTGACACCCCTGCCCCAGCATTCCCATAAACCCAGGACCAAGCACACACATGCCCAGAGTATATGGGTCAACCAAGGAATTAAACCCACGGGAACCAGCAGTTAGTGTAATGGTTATGTCGCTGGACTCCCACGTAGTCGACCGCAGTTCACGTCCCAGACCCGGTGGCTTAAAACTCATGCCGGGCGCGTGTGCGTGTGTGCCCAAGATCCTGAGAGGAGAATGGAGAAGGGATTGTGACATGGCCATCCCCCCTGGGGGATGATTTCTTGCTTTCTGTCTCTAATGTCTCTCTCTGTCTGTCTGGCGAGCGCACGCGCCCTATAGCAAAAATCTCTCCAAAAAGAAAAAAAGAAATCAAACCCACAATCTTCCACGTGGACCCAGCCTTGTTTGAGGAGTGCATCATAGCCATGCCGCTGAACTAATCCTATTCCATTCTATTTTTCCTTTGGTCAGAGAGCACATGTGCTTGTGGGTGTGTTTGTGTGTGTGAGAGAGAGAGACAAAGAGAGAAAGCATTCCCCAGTGGGGCGTGGTCATGCCACAATCCTTTTTCCTTCAATTCTCTTTCCTGTCAGGATTTTTGGACATGCACATACATGTGCCAAATGTTTTTTAAGCTTCTATGGCCAGGATTTAAACCATAATCAGTCACGTGGGAATCTGGCTTCCAGTGCACAGTGCTTAACCACGATGGGGCTGGACCCCCCCACCTCCAATTTTTTTTTTAATAATGATCTTGTATTATAACTTGTTTGTCAAAGGGGGGAAATCAACACTTTATTTTGTTGCTAGTGCTTTTTTAGTAAATCCCTTCACAAAGTAATAGAATGCAAACACAAAGCAAACGTGCAGTGAATACTGGGAACTCGTGCACCCTTGTATCCGGTGAGTGGCTGGGTTCTGCACAGCACTACGGTCTAAGCATCAGCAGTTGTCTTTGTTCCTTGTTGCAAGGACAATGGAGACATTTAGTGCTGTTGTAATCAGGTAGTATTTACTCAGTGCTGCAGCACTCAGAGTAATCCCAACTCTGCACTAAGAAGGTTCACACACGCTAATGTTCACATTCTAGTTTCATTTTGACTACAGCATTGCACAGAAACCAAATGATCAAATCTGCATTTCCTTCTAAATCTATATGCAAATGGTTGAGCAGGGATTCCCCCTCATAGCTGGCATTCCTCAGCAAGAAGGATTCTGGATAACCTCGAGCTCTGAAGATATGAATTGCCTAAATGTCAGTCTAATCGAGCTGAATTGAGCACTTCCTGTGTTTTGCCAGATTTTGCAGATCTCATTGCAAGCTGGCTCCTCTGTGACTTATCATCACTACTTTGCTTTCAGATCAACTGTTAATTCTCACAGTCCTCCTGGACCAAGCGAGAGGAACCAGCAGAGGTATACAGCTATGGCTGCACTCATTTTCATCATTTGACAGATGGAGAAGCCAAGGTTCCAAGTCAGGTCTGTTTTTATCACAGGGGGGCATGCTACGTCTCCTCTGACTCCCAGCTTTGATGGTAGGGCACACCACACATAGGATGTATTTTCTAACAAACTTTGGGAAATAAGTCCAGATCATCGCAGTTACAACTTCAGGAGAGTTTAAAAGTGTAACTGCAAAATTGTGCCTCGGACTTACCTTCTGTTGCTGTCCCCTCAGCACTTCACTACAAGCTTCTAGAAGTCTCAGTATGAAGTTCTTCCAGAAAAGTCACATCACTTAAAAATTGTGTAGTCCAAAATAAAGGTATCTTGTCTTCAGACTCCATAAATACAATGATGTCACTCACCAATCGTACATTCACGATCATCTCCATATTTAATCAGGGCAATGTGATTAGTGATTAGTTATGTCAAATTTCCACATGATAGCAACATCAAACAGAATAAAAAACAGAATGAGATATACAACAGCTCCTTCTGAAGAATCTTTCTCAGTCTACACCTTTTTCTAAAATTTGCATTCCTCTCTCTTTTATTCTTTTGTCAGCAGATCACTCTCTCATGAAAACCTGCTGGCATTATTCAAAGTACTAAACCAAAGAACTAAAGGAGTTCTCTTTTTTCCCACTTTATTGAAGTATAGCTGACAAATAAAATAAAAGTTATATACATATATTTAAGTATACAATGAGATGTCAGAAAAGTTGTGATGTATTTTTCTTATGCAAAAATGTATAACTTTCCTGATAACCCTATATATATATATATATATACACACACACACACACACACACACACACACACACACACACGATGAGATGATGAAATCAAGCTAATGAACATATCTGACATCTCATACAATCACTTTTCTCTTTCTTTTTTTTTTTTGATGAGAGGTTTAAGATCTACTCTCTTAGCAAATTTCAAATATGTGCTACAATATTATTAACTATGGTTACTTATGCTGTGCATTAAATCTCCAGAGTGTATTCATTGTGCGTAACTGAAACTTCTTACCTTTGGACTAACAACTTCTCATTTTCTCCCCACCTACCATGCCCCTGGAAACCACTATTCTATCTCTCTGCTTCTATGGCTTTTACTTTCTTAGATTCCACATATAATTATGATCATGAAGAATTTGTCTTTCTGGGGCCGGCAGGTGGCATGGTGATTGGGGATGCTGGACTCCCACATGGCTGACCGTGGTTCGAGTCCCAGACCTGGCAGCTTGCTTTCTTACTCTCTCTCGCTCACTCTGTCTCTCCCTGGTCAAAATAAAATAAATAAATAAATAAATAAATAAATAATGAAATAAAATGATTATTTAAAAAAAAAAAAGAATTTGTCTTTCTGGGCCTGGCTCAATTCATTTAGTATAATGTCCTCCAGTTTAACCCATGTTGTCACAAATGAAGCATTTGTATTTTTTAAGGCTGAATATTAATTTATTATATATATATTTCTTCATCCATTCACCTCTTTTTTTTGAGAGAGAAATTTTTGCTGTATGTATATGTGCTCCCCAGAGAGACAGAAGGTGAGAAATCACCTCCCAAGGGACTGGACACACTGCAATCCCTGCTCCTCCATTCTCTTGGAATTTTGGGCATGCATGCACAAGCTCTTGGCATGAGTTTCAAGCGACCAGGTCTGGGACTCAAACCACAGTCAGCCACATGGGAATCCAGCACTTTAACTACTATGCCACCTGCTGGTTCTCATCCATTCACCTCTTGATGGGCACTTAAATTGATTCCATATCATGGCTGCTATGCATAATCAAGATAAACATGAGAGTACAGATACCCTTTTGAGATATTGATTTTATCTCTTTGGAATATATCCATAGATGTGAAATTGTTGGATCACATGGTAGATGTGATTTTAAGTTTTTGAGTAGTATCCATGCTGTTTTTCATAATGGCTGTACCAATTTACTTTCCCACCAAGTGTTCCCTTTTCTGTTTGTCCTCACCAACACTTGCAATCTTTTGTCTTTTGATGAAAGCTATTCCAACAAGTGAGAAGTGATATGTCATTGTAGTTTTGATTTGCATTTCACTGATGATTAGTGAGTTTAGCACTTTTTTCAAATTTTTGTTGACCATTTTTATGTTTTCTTTTGAGAAATGCCTGTTTAGATACTTCACCTATTTTCAAATCAGACTATTGTTTTCCTGCTATTGAGCTGTTAAGTTCTTTATGTATTTTGGATATTAACCCCTTATCAGATGTATGGTTAGCAAATATTTTCTCCTATTCCATAGGTTATCTCTTTATTCAGTTGATTGTTTCCTTTGCAATGCAAATGCAAATTTTTTTGTTTGATGCAATTCTATTTGTCTATTTTTACCTCTGTTGACTGTGCTTTTGAGGTCATATCTTAAAAAACTATTACCTAATGTCAAGAAGTTTTTATTTTTCATTTGGAAGTTGTTTAGGAAGTTCTATCTGAGCTTCCTGTCCTTCTCCCCTGGAGAAGGCTATAAAATGTAAAAAAGATTTTTTTAACCTTCGGAAGCAAATAGTAAGTCCCTTATATGAGAGATGACTTCCCTATATCTGGAGTAAAGAAATATTCTCATATTTATCTGTCACAGAGAAGAATAAACCCTACGTAATCATGGTATGTGATCCTTTTAATGTGGCGTTGAATTTGAATCACTAGAATTTTGATGAGAATTTCTGAACCTATGTTCGTCATGAATATTGGCCTATAATTTTCTCTTCTTATAGTTTTTGTGTTGGATATCAAGGCAATTAGGGTCTTATATTGGGTTGTTGGAAAAATCATGATGGATTTTTGCAACAGATGGCACTAGTTCATTTTTGGAAGTACTAGAGTCATTTATATCTATGCTATTGCTATGTCATTTGACAGCTGACAGTTCTAGCTTTATTCTAAAATAAATTTAGCTATTTTGTTGAGTTTTGGAGATTTTACAAGTTGAAGATGGAAGACCAAACTGTGCATTTTTACCATATTTTACTGTTTTACTTCCATAAAGAGTAGAACGTACGTCGAGCTTGTGAAAAGTTGTGTACAGTTTATGGTGACAGTGCTCTACAGGAACATCAGTGCCAGTCATGGTTCATGAAATTTCATGCTGGTGATTTTGATCTCAACAATACTCCTTGGTCAGGGAGTCCCACCAAGGTTGATGACAACAAAATAAAGGCATTGATCGAGTCAAACCCACATTACACAACATGAGATATTGTAGAAACATTGAACATCTGTCATTCAAGCATTCATGACCACCTGGAGAAGCTGGGATAAATAAGCAAGGTCAACATTTGGGTTCCTCATGAACTCAAAGACGTTCATTTGACAGTGTGTATAAACATCTCCAATATGCTCATTAAACATGAGGAAAACAATCCTTTTTTTGAAGTAACTGATAACTGGTGATGAGAAGTGGATTGTTTACAACAATGTGGTGTGCAAATGGTCTTGGTCTCAATGTGATGATTCTCCTCAAATGACATCAAAAGCAGACATTCATCAGAGGAAAGTCATGCTCTCAACATGATGGGATTCAAAGGTGTCATGTTTTTCGAGCTCCTGCCAAGGAACCAAACAATCAATTCAAATATATACTGTCAGCAATTGGACAGTTTGAACAAATCAATCATCCAGAAATGTCAGAGCTCATTAACCATAAAGAAGTTGTGTTCCATCACAACAACACAAGACCACACACAAGTCTGACCACCCGTCAAAATTCCTGGAGCTTGGGTGGGTTGTGTTGCCACACCCACTATACTCACCTGATCTTGTGCCATCAGACTTCCACTTGTTTCACTCTTTTAAAAACTCCTTGCATGCCATAACGTTCAATTCAGTTGAAGCTGTAAATCAGCACTGCGTTCTGTTTTTTGCCAATAAAAACAAGTCCTTCTATAAATGAGGAATTATGAAGCTCACTGAAAGATTGCAAAATGTTATCAAACAAAATAGGCAATATATCATTGATTGATCTTTGTTCTTCATATAAATAAATAACTTTTGAAAAACATAGAAAAATATGTCATGAATTTTCCAACAATGCAATAAAATGGGCTTGGAGATGTCCCCTCCTATTCCATTTTTTTAGAATAGTTTGAGAAGGGTTGGCATTAATTCTTTAAATATTTGGTATAACTTACCTGTGAAGTCATCAGGCCCTAGATATCCTTTGTTGGGAGGTTTTTGATTACTGATACAATCTTCATCCTCATTATTAATCTGTTCAGATTTTCTATGTCTTCATGATTTGATCTTAGTAAGTTGTATGTTTCTAGGACTTTCCTTGAGGTTATACAAATTGTCAGCATGTCATTGTTCATAGCATCTCATGATCCTTTGGATTTCTATGGTATCGGTTGTAATGTCTTCTCTTTCATTTGTAATTTTCTTTATGAATTTTCTTCATCTAGCTAAAGATTTGTCGATTTTATTTGTCTTTTCAAGAAAATGAACTCTTAGTTTCATTGATCTTTTTTTATTCTTCTAACTTCTAGCTCTTTTCTCTAAAAAAAAAAAAAGAACGTCAATCTCTAGCTCATTTATTTCTCCTCTAATTTTTATTACTTCATTTCTTCTGCTAACTTTTGGGATTAATTTATTCTTTTCTAAATTCCTTGAAATGAAATTGGGTGTTTTTTAACTTTCTTTTTCCTTCTTTTAGCTTTTCAGAAATTTAATTGTTATCCATCTCCATAGTATATAATATATTAATAATTTTTCAAAAATATGGATTATATTACCCTCAAATCAAGGATATTACCATATATATCTTTTCCACTGGAGAACTTTACATTCTCATGTCTGTCAAGTATTTGCTCCCTCAGCCCCTCCCAGTCACCCATTAAGTTCCCTCTAACAACTTCTTTTGCTGCATTCTGGAAGTTTTGACCTGTTCTGTTTACATTTTTGTTAGTCTTTTCCTTTTGGTTTCTTCTTTAACCCACTGGTTATTTAGGAGTGTGGTGTTTAATTTTTGCATTTGTGAAATTTCCTTTATTTTTCTTTTTTGCAATTATTCATTTTTGAAATACTGTTGTGGTTGAAAAAGATACAGTGCTTTTAATTGTCTGAGGGTATGTGCACACACACAGAGTGATGGCACCTCACACACACACTGGGGCATGGCCATCCTATAATCCCTTTTCCTCTATTCCCTATCCCATCAGGATTTTGAATGCTTGTTCATGCACCCAGCATGTTTTTCAAACTGCCAGGCAGGGACTCAAACCATAGTCAGCCAGGTGGGATCTGGCTCCCAGTGCTACTACACTACAGGACTGACCCTGATACAATTTTTTCAATTTGTTAAGACTTGTTTTGTGAGCTAATATATAATCCTGGATTGTATTCTGCTGACATTGGATGAAATGTCTTCTATCCATTAGGTATGAATGTATCCGTTAGGTCCCTTTAGTCTATAACCTTCAAATCCACTGTTTTCTTATTGATCTTCTGTCTAGGAGATTTATTTATTGTTGAAAGTGAAATTGATATGTTCTATTGTATTTCTGTTCATTTTTCCCTTCAGCTCTGTTAACATTTGCTTTATATATTTAGATTCTCCAATGCTGAGTGCATATACTTTTTCAGTTGTTATATCTTCTTGATGAATTGACCTCTTTATCATTATATAATGACCTTCTTTGTTTCTTATAACTTTCCTACTTTCCTGTTTTTCTTAAAGGCTATTTTATTTGGGGCCAGCCAGCAGCAAGGAGGTTTAGGTGGTTGGATCCCACATGGCCAAATGTGTGGTTTTAGTCCCAGACCTGGTGGCTTGAAAATCATGCTGGACGTATGTGCATGTGTGCCCAGAATCCCCCTAGGAGAATGGAGGAAAAGGGATTGTGATGCAGTCATGAGATCTGGAATGATTTCTTGCTTTCCTTCTCTCTCTGTCTCTCTCTGGTGAGTGCACACACCCTATAGCAAAATCCATGGGGAAAAAAAAAAAAGGATATCTTATTTGATGTAAGTATAGCCATATTCACTCTCTGTCAGTTACCATTTGCATGGGATACATTTTTAAATTCCTTTATTTTTTGCATGTTTCCTTAATGCAAGTGTCATGTAGGCAGCAAATTATTTAATTTTATTATTTTAATCCATTCAGACACTCTATACTTTTTTGACTGGAAAAATTAACCCAGTTATCTCTAAAATCATTTTTTTTTTACCAGCAGTGCTTACTATTGCCACTTTATTAAAATTTTTTTGACCATTTGGTAGTTTCTTTGCTCCTTTCTTTCTCTTGCTGTCTTTGTGAGATGATCATTTTATAGTGGTATAATTTTTTATTCCTCTTCCTCTATATTCTGCATACCTACTACAAGCATGTTTCTTTTAAAAAAAAAGTCTTGGCAGAGGGCACATGTGTTTTTCAAAGAGACAGAGAAAAGTAGGAGCGGGAGAAAACACTCCCCATGGGGCATAGTCATACTACAATCCTTTCTTCTCCACTTTTCCATCCTATTACGATTTTTGGCCCTGCATCACACATAGCTGGTATGTTTTTCCAACTGCCAGGTCCCAGATTCAAAACACATGGCCAGGATCAGCAGATAGTGTAATGGTTACGTTGCTAGGCTCCCACATAGTCAACCACAGTTTGAGTTCTGAATCCGGCAGCTTAAAACTCATGATTGGTGGGTATGCATGCATGCCCAAAATCCCAAGAGGAGAATGGAAGAGAAGGGATTGTGATGTGGCCATCCCATCTAGGGGTGATTCCTCACGTTTTGTCTTATCTCTTCAGCAAGTGCACAGGCCCTACAGAAAAAATCTTTTTAAAATAAACAAATAAATAAAGTACCTCAATAGAATCTCTATACCTATTCCTTTTAGAGTTCTTTGGGCTTCATGGGTCTATATATCCAGAGTTAGAAAGTTTTCTGGGGCCACCAGGAGGCATAGTGGTTAAGGCTCTGGACTCCCACATGGCCAACCACAGTTTGAGTCCCAGACCTGGCAGCTTGAAAATCATATTGGGCATGTGTGCATGCATGCCCAAAATCCTAGGAGGAGAATGGAGGAAAAGGGACCGTGGCATGGCCATTCCCCATGTGGTGATTTCTTACTTTCCTGCTCACTTCATGGCCATTCTCCATGTGGTGATTTCTTACTTTCCTGCTCACTGAGTCTTTCTTTCTCTCTCTGGTGAGCTCATGTGCCCTATGGCAAAAAAAATTTTTTTTTAATTTCCTGCATTTTGAAGGAGCTTAAAAAAGTTCATAGATGGGACTAGCAGTTGGCGTAATGGCTATGTCGCTGGGCACATGTGTGTGCATACCCAAGATCCTGAGAAGAGAATGGAGGAGAAGGGATTGCAGCATGGCCATTGCCCCGGGGGGTGATTTCTCGCTTTCTGTCTCTCTGTCTCTCTGGGGAGCCCTTGCACCCTATAGCAAACCCTCTCAAAAAAAAAAAAAGTTAATGGAAAATGGAATTAAAGTATGAGTTTATTTTGGTGCAAAAAGAAAAAAATCAGACTCTTCATACAGTTGTTCATAATATGTATTTTCAATGAATTTTTTTGAAGACTTCAAAAAATTTTTAAAGTTTTCTGCCCCTTCTCTTTCCTTTTTTTTGTAATTACTATAATGTACATACTTATTTGCTTGATTGGAGTCCCATTAGTCCCATAGACTTTCTTCACTCTTTTTCATTCCTTTTCTTCTAGTTTCTTTCCATAATTTCAGTGACTTGTTCTCTGGCTTGCTCATTCTTTCTTCTCCTTAATTAAGTCCATTGTTGAAGGTGTCCATAGCATTTTTCATGTCAATAATTTAGCTCTTGAACCCCAGAATTTCTGTTTGGTACTTTTTCATGATGTCTCTTTGCTGAACTTCATGTTTTGTTCCTGTATTGCCTTCCTCATTTTGTTTAATTGTCTATTTGCTTTCTTTTACAGCTCACCGAGCTTTTTAAAGATAATTATTTTATTTCCTATATCAGGCAGTTTGTAGATCTTCCTTCTTTTGGGGTTAGTTATGGGTGTTTTATTTTCTTTCTTTGATGATGTCACATCTCCCTGACTATCCGTGATCTTTGTGGCCTGAGTTGGTGTCTATTTATTTGAAAAGATAGGAGTGTATTCTGATTTTCACAGACAGACTTTGGCAGGAAACACTCTTCATAAGTCAGCCTGTCCAGAGATTCTGGGGAGGCCGACTAGTAAGGCCTGCAGGAAAACTTGCTGCCGAAGTCTGCAGTGGACTTTCCTGATATCTGGGTCCACAAGGGCTGACCTGTCACCAGTTTCTACTAGAGTGGGATTGGAGATTGGGCCCAGGGTGTGGGACCTGGAGCTGGGTCTGTGGAGGCTGGCTTGGTGCTGGGGTGACCCAAGTGCCTGAGTCCTCGTGGACAGGCCTGACCCTGAGTCTGTGGGAGTTAGTCTGATTACAGAGTCTCCTGGGGCAGGCCTGGATCCTGAGTTTTCTGAAGAGGGCTTGTACCCTTGCATCCTAGTGTTGAGGCTAGCTCTGCAGAGTTAGGCCTGGTTTGTGGCTCTATAGGAGTTTATTTGGTGCCAGAGACCGCTGGGGAAGGCCTGATGTTGGAGTTGGTGGGTAAGGTAGGTGTTCATTTTACTCTCCCTCTTCATGTGGAGGGAATCGCTTTTTGCATTGTGCTGTATGGACTTGTGGGAGTGGTGACTCAGGTAATGTGAGAATAAATACTTCCTCAGCCTATTCAGTGAACCTAAATCATATGCTTCTTATTATAAATAAATGTGTTCTTAACTGTAAACCCCAAGCCACTCCATCATCGCTCAATTCTGAGCAAACTGCAATTTACAACATTCTTCAAAAGAATAAATCAATTCGAATGCACCATCAGGAAATAAATCAGCAGAATACCATCTGTAAGAAACCAAGCTAATGGCAATTAAAGGCATCTTTTTGCTGGAGTGTTTGGGGTATTAAACTGCCAATCTTATCTGTTACCTAGCTTATAATTTTGGGAGGTAATGTCTGTAACAGTAGATGCAATAGCTTGGAGATTTCATGTCTATCATCAACTAGTACTTGGAAAAATATTGTAGAACAACTATTAATCTGGCTTGATAGTCTTTCCTTAGAATGACGGTTTTTACTTAGAATGTGAGCTCTAAGACTTAAGCCACTATATGTGACTATTAGTTTACAAGATGTGGATTTTTTTAAAAAGCACTCTAAATTGACATTAACAGGGGTTGGTCTTCCAGGAGCAAAATTATTTATTTATTCCAGTAGTGCAAATATTTAACAACTGGCATAACAGAGGTCCCAACCTATTAAATAAGACACTCAACTAATAAAAAATGGTGCTCAACCAATTATAACTGTAGCAGGTTGCAAATAGCTTGTATGTCCCTTTGGGAGCAATCCGGCTGCGATATTCACCATTATCATAGAGAAATGTCTTTGAGACTGTACGTCTGTTGTCATAGATGCTTTATGACCCAAGCTAAAATGCCAATCATGCTCAGCTTTAGAGTTATGCATAGCTTTTGATTCTGACCAGCAAATCTTCCACTTAATCAAAAACCCAATTCACCACAACAGGGTGTATTCCCCCAAATGGTCTGATCTTTTTCCAAATCCATTCCAAAAAATGTTCACAGCAAGGCAAGTGAGCTTAGAAGAAAGAGCTCACCAGTGGGCAGGTTCGATGGGTGGTCTGCTCTTCCCCAGGATTTTTCCATGCTCTGCCAGACAAGATGAGGAAGGAAGGTCCTGACTGGAGAAAAAGGAGGTCTCTACCAAGGTATCCCATGAATGAATTCGCCAAATGGAGAGATTAAGTCCATAATTCAAAAAGACAAAGGCACGTGGCCATCCAAGGGACCTAGTAAGAAAGTACAGGCAAATCAGAGTTTTTCAAGGGTGGTTCTAGAATGCTTACAACAGAAACTCTTGACATTTTTCTTAAAATTAAAGATTCTAGGCCCCCACTGCACATCTAATGAATCAGAATCTCTGGGAGTGAGTCTGGGTTCTGCATTTCACACCAGTTCACCAACTGATCCTTATGCAAGCTAAAGTAAGAGAACCAATGAGTCTAGATTATGATTATAAGACTTGAAAGAGGAATGAGACATGAAAAGAAGTACTGGCTGATTCAGGTGAACTGGGCATCACATAAGATTCAATTTAGGGAATTTAGGGGTTTTTAAAGAATAAATATAGCCACAGTGGCACACATTGCAAAACGCTATACTTCATATTCTGGGAGTACAGGAGAGGCTTTGGTTCAATTCTTGGTCTAACCTAAAGATTGGGCACAATGGTGTCCTCTGTTATTCTAGTGCTTGGGCAGGCTAAGGCAGGAAAACCACAAGCTCAAAGCTGGCCTGGGAAACAGCAAGACTCTGCTAGAGCCAGGCATGGAGTTGTATGCCTATAGTCCCAACCAAGGAGCTGAGGCAGGAGGATCACAATATGGAGAGATACTGTTCAAAAACAAAACAAAACAAACAGGGTACCTCTTTCCTTTCAATGATCACATGCTGCAGAAAACCTACAAAGGACATAATCTAGTAATCCTTTCCAAACAGTATATGGAAGCAGAAGATAGGAATGAAAAGACAGGATTTTACAGCAATTTTTCAAAGAAGGATATGCATTTAATAACATTCTTATATTACTTGTACTATAATTTTCTTAAACCTACAATACAATTAGATAATGGTTGTTAATAGGAATAGGCTAAGAGTTATATTACAGAGCTGCCCCAATAGATCAGTATGACTAATACAGAGAATGAAATATTAGCTGTGCTTTTCTAAGAATTTATCAAGAGCATTGTCCAGATAGTCTATATCTGCCAGGAGATAGCTAGCAAATTTCTAGGTCCCTACAATAAACCTAAAGATGTACAACAACACAGAATACCACTCTTTTAAGAAAATTATAACTTGACTGTGTAAATATAAATGGCTTATGAAAGTAATATTGTACAAGACAGTGCAGTGTAGTGAAGGAGACCTCTAAAAGATTTCAGGGGGACTAAGCCACTTCCATTTCTGTATATTTTAGGATTTTTTAAAAATGAAAAGCAATTTTAAAAAGCTTTTAGTGTTAAAACAAGATTACTGAAGCCATGGTATTTTTTAATATGTTTTAAAAATGTTTATTCTGAGGATGGCCAGTGGTGTGGTGGTTAAGGGTGCCGGATTCCCACATGGCCGACTGTAGTTCAAGTCTCAGACCTGGCAACTTGCTCCTTGCTTTCCCTCTTTCAATAAATAAATAAATAAAGTTAAGTGAAATAATTATTTTTTAACAATTTATTGTAATTTATAATTTATGTATAATTATTACACTTCTTAATAGGGTACAGTGTGTTTTTTTCAAGTATGTATGGTGTGTAATAAACAGCTCAAGGGGGACCTGCAGTTAGCGTAATGGCTATGTCGTTGAACTCCCACATAGTTGACCACAGTTCGAATCCCAGACCCAGTGACTTAAAGCTCACGCCGGGCGCATGTGTGTGTGTGTGCCCAAGATCCCAAGAGGAGAATGGAGGAGCAGGGATTGTGGTGTGGCCATCCTCCCTGGGGCGTAATTTCTCGCTTTCTGTCTCTCTGTCTCTCTCAGTCTGTCTGGCGAGCACACGTGCCCTATAGCGAAAACCTCTCAAAAAAATAAAAATAAAAAATAAACAGCTCAAGGATATAAACATATTTATCACTATCAGCATTTAACATTACATTATGTTGTGAATATGTGAAATTTACTCTAGTGATTATTTTGGAAGTATACACACACACACACACACACATATATATATAATTGTCAATGCTGTTCTTTACTGTGAAATGTAGTTCTTAAGAAAAACAAAGTGATTAAAAATCAGAAAACAAAACGTCTCATAAATTAATGAGGATGAATTGTTGAAAACAAAGATAATCTTAACATAGACAATGAAAGAACAATTTAATTTCCATGAAGAAGACTGGAAGGATCTATGATACCAGTTAATGGTCCAGTTAGAAATAGGTAAAAGTGTACATAACAATAGCTCATTAGGAAGAGTTAGAAAAAGAAAACTCTGACTCACTGTGAGTTCTTGCACGACCATAGTACTGGGGGCCAGGAGATGGTGTAGCAGTTTCGTTGCTAAACTCTCACATGGCTGACGGTGGTTTGAGTCCTGAATCCATTAGCTTGAAAATCATGTCAGAAGTGTGTGTGAACGTGCGTGTATGCCCAAGCTCCTAGGAGGAGAATGGAGGAGAAAGGGATTCCAGCATGGCCATCCCCCCTGGGGGGTGATTTCTCACTTTCCTTCTCACTGTCTCTGTCTCTGTTTCTCTCTCTCTGGCAAGTACATACACCGTAAGGCAAAAACCTCTTTCTGTATTATGCATAAAGAAATAAATCTTCAAAAAGGCAAAAGCAAAACAAAATCAGAAAGAGAAGAAATGGTATAGTCAATGATTTGGTGATTTATAGACTTTACGGAGTTCCTGACTTTAGCCTTCTTTCAATTCATTCCAAAGAAAGACTCAGATACTTGTAACATTTTGGATTTTTTCTCCGTTATCTAATTTTATACAATAAATTATGATTATAATAATAAATACATAAATGCAATATGAAACATGTGGAGACAACTATCTATCAAATAATTGGTAAATTTGTACTTAAACCTGATTTACGTAAAACAGTTGAAACTGAACTTTATGTCTTTTAGTTGGGGAATTTAATGCTGATATTCCATGTTATCAATATGTGTGGACTTATCCCCATCCTTTCATGACTCTTATTCTTTTTAATTTTTTTTTCTTCTTACTTCTATTTATTTCCCTTTAATTTTCCTGGTGTGGTATTCCCTGAAGTATTTCCTGAAGAGCTGGTTTAGTTTTGGTGAATTCCTTAAACGTTTGTTTACTGGAAATAATTTTATTTCTCCTTGTCATTTAAAGGATAATTTTTCTGGGTTTAGTACTCTTGGTTGAAATTGCTTTTCTTTCAGAGTTTTGAGTATGTATTCCCATTTTTTCCTTGCCGCCATTATTTCAGTTGAGAAGTCTGATGTTAGTCTAACACAATAACCTTTGTATGTAACATGACAGTTTTCTCTTGCCATCTTCCAAATATTGTCTTTGTCCTTGATTTTTACCAATTTGGCTATGATATGCCTTGGAGAGGATCTCCTTAAGTTTATTCTGGTGTCCTTCTTATCTCCTGGATTTGGACGTCCATATGCCTCTCTAAATTTGGAAAGTTTCAGCTAATATATCATGAAAGAGATTTTTTATAATGCCTTTACCTATCTCTTTGCCTTTTGGAATACCTATAATGTGGACGCTTGTCTGTATAATGCTGTCTAGGAGTTCCCGTATTGTTCTGATTTTTAATAGTTATTCTTCTATTCTATTTGGTTGCTTGTACTAAATCGAAGGTTTTGTCTTCAAGGTCAGCAATTCTTTCTTCTGTGTGGTCTAATCTGCTCTTGATACTTTTGAGGGAGGTTTTGATTTCCTGCACCATATTCTTTATCTCCCCAAGTTCTGTCTCTTTTTTAGGGTATCTCTTTATGGACTCCTCCTTCAGGTCATAGAAGGATTTTCACATCTGGGACCAGTTGTTTACTCTTGCAACTCACTATGTTCAGTTACAATGAATATTCTGAATTCTTTTTCTGACATTGCTGTGATCTCTTGTGTTTTATCCAGTGTTGGTGAGGAGTTATTATGTTCCTTTAAGAGGAGAGATTTTTCTGGTTTTCTCCTATTTCTTTGGACTTGTTTTGGTCATTGGTGATATACTCACTTTTTCCTACTTCTTTGGAGTATGTTTCTGTAGTTGTGTTCTCATGAACTTCTCTATGGTGTGAGTTAGCTTTGTTATCTCTACTAAAGTAGAAATAAGGAATCCAAAGTGGGAATTTGGGGTGTAGGCTTTTAGAGGGGAATTCTTTCATTTTTCTGATGGGTGGGGGTTTTGAAAGAAAAATTCCTCCAAAATTTTACTGTCTTAAGGTGTTTGGTTACTGTGTATTCAAACCTCTCTGCACACAATGTGGTTGGCGGTTGAGCTGGACAGATAGGTTTTAAGGTGTTAGTCCAATCTTCATGCCATGGAATTCAGGCCAGAGCAGCCAGCCCCTCCTCCTCCACTGCAGGTTAGGTAGGGGGTCCCTGCTGATGAGCTAAGACCAGGTGGCCTTTGTTTCCCTGTTGTTTCTAGATGGGTGAGGGGCAGAGCAGCCTTTCTTTTCCCACTGCAGGTTAGGCAGAAGTCTCTGCTAATGAGCTAAGGCCAGGAAGCTTTTAGTTTCCTGTTGTTCCTTCTATCTCTGGCACCATGGTTTGTGTGTATCTATATTTTGTTACATGTAATGAATTAACTTTTCATGGCCCAAAATAAGCAAATGATGCAATATAATTGTTTACATAATAATAGAATTTATTTTGAAAGTATTCGTTTATAATGCATCAAATGTGGCGTGCTTTGGTTATTCAGTAATGGAACATAAATCAAAAATGATATGAAAGATACTTCTAAGTCTGTCAGTGTGTTGCTTTGACTCTGTATGCTTATAATCTCAATAGAGGACAAAGGATAAAAATATTAGAATAGGACTGGCCCTGTTGTGCAGCAGTTGGGAGCTGTGCAGAGGAAGCTGGAACTCACATGACTGGCCAGGGTTCAAGTCCCAGCCCCATCAGCTTGAAAAACATGCAGTTGTGTGTACATGTTGATTCTGATGAGATGAAGAACTGGGGGTGGAGGGATTACAGTATAGTCTAACCCTGTTGGGGTTCTCTCTCTCTCTCTCTGTCATATATACCTGGGCATAGGAGAAAAAGAAAAAAAAAACCTAGGATAGATGCCTTTTGTGAATGGGAGGTCCAAGCCAAATATCCCAAGAGTCACCTTTAATAGCACCTGATAGTAATAAGGTCTCTGGACTGAGCTGATTCTTGGGACAAACAGAAATGTGACTTTAGGCAGTTCATCTCTGCTTCGGAACATGTGTTTCTCTATCTGTAAAACAAGGGAAGATGATTACTGAGATTTCCTCTAGCTTTGTGTGTCTGGTATATTTTCATCTAACCCAATCTGTTTGCCGTGCATTTCTGCAGTCTCTCTTATCTTGGACCAGAAGGGTAAGTTGCTAGAATTTCCTTGGTGTCACTCAACTGTGTAAAAGCCTATTCGCTTCTTTTATTACACTTCAATTCAGTCTCTTGCTTTGGGTTCTTTTCTTTGCCACTGGGCCAGCTCTTTAATAAGCATTTCACGAGTTGTCCCAATAATTAACAACTAATTAACAAGAAGGCCTTGCTGCTAGAGGTTGGTACTTTCAAAAAGAAATGAGCAGGAAGGTTGCTTTGCTTTCTGTATTCACAAGGTCCTGCCATTGTCATTGTAATCTGCTGGAGATGGCAGTTCCTGAATAGTGTGAACAGTCTCATTAAAGATCTCTGCTGGAACAATCAATTCACTGTCACCGGACCACATATTGATCCTCGAGAACTGTCATTGAGTTCCAGGGTGTTTGTAAAAAATTGACAACCAGAAGTGTGCTTCAGTTTAGGCTATTTATTTCTCTGAGAACCACATTATAATTAGATGATATCTAAGTGGCTCTCTTTGTTGCTCCTGAAGGCTGCAAATACTGACTAGAAGTTTCCTAACAAAACTTTTTAGCAGGATGTTAAAAGTTTCCAGATTCACTGGACTTGCAGGTGAAGCACCTACCAGGTATTCTGTGTGCTTCCAAGACGTCTCTGGATGTCCATCATAGCCTCACCTTTGACATTTATTAAGCTCCAAACCTTATAACATGTGGTTTTGTTTCCCTGGCCATAGCTGCTTGGACCAGTGATGAGCATATGATTAAAAGAGACTATCTATCCAATGACCAAGTAGAGTGGTTTAGGTGAGAGACAGAGAATCTGACTTTGCTGATAGAAACAATGGAAACAGAGGGGAGGGAATGAGGTAACCTCAGAGGTGAATTGACAAACTGGGGAGCAGCATACATTGAACAACTATGAGAATTATTCTCACACTTCTTATTTAGTACAATCCTTTTGTGATTTAAAAAAAAATTCATTAATGTACTGATCTCTTTCAAAGTTCTGTTATAGACACCCATTTATCTCAAAAGGGTTTAAGAGTATTGCAGTGTAAATTTAAAAAGAAGAACATGTAGCTTTTGACATTCAGAGGAAATGCCATGATCAGGACCATAATCTGGAAAGCTATTCTGAATTCCTTAACTCTTAGTACATATCAGGTTAAAGCCTAGAAGAGTGATTAATATTTTCCCCCAAGGTAGAGAAAATAGTCCTTCTACTTACGAATCAAGATAGAGACTAAAAGGAAGACGGTAGATGAGAAAGGTTAGAGTCATTGGTTAGAGAAAACTCAAGATGAGGGTAGGATGTTTTAGAAACAATCAGACTATCTTGGGAAAGTCAAAGGTATTTGGAGGAGAGGGTGGATGATAACTTCTCCAGAATTAAGGCAAGGAGGGTCTAGGCTTTCAGCTTAGGGACATGTTCACATGGTCCAGAGACAATGATGTAGAAGAAATTGAAGGCAATAAATGAAAAAGTCCAAGACCATGTTTTGATATAGGGTCTTCAAAAACTTCATGAAAAATGTATATCCAAATATAAAATGTATATCCACACATACAGATTTCTAGTAATCTTATTTGTTACCACAGTATTTGCTCTGTAATAAATGAATATGACAGGGTCGAGGTTTAAAATACTTTCTGACTGATTTTCCCCCTTCCCCCTTTAAAACCAACTTCCGCACATACCTTCTGTGAATGGCATTAATTTGTTTTCTGTCCATATAGTTTTGCCTTTTCCTGAGTATCTTCTGAATTTATGGAAGTTTTGTGGCTGACCATTTTTCTTTAGCATAACGCACTTGAGATGAATACACACTGTTGCATGCATCAGTTATTTTTTTTCCTTTTTATTGCTAAATAGTATTCCACCCTATGGATTTACCATGATTTGTTTATCCACTTATCATTCGAAGGTCATTTGGGTTGTCCCATTTTTGCAGATTATTAATAAAATTCCTACAAACATTTGCATACAATTTTTTTTTTACTTCTTAAAAGCAGATTTCTGTAAGACAATAAAAAGATAAGAACACAATTAAGTATAAATCAAATATTTAGATATAAGACCATTTTATGCCTGGCAACAGGCAGTAAGGAAAAACTCTGACTCTAGAGTCATGAGATGTGTCCAGCTCTTTTTGCATTCCCTGATTAGTCACTTTGGGCTAGTTGTTTGACTTCATTGAGTTTCAATTTCCTCACCAGAGAGTGGAGATAACAACATGTAATCCATCATCCCACTGGGGTGCGATGGCTGAGAATGAGGTGAGACAATGGTTCCACACACACGATTGGAAAACAGCCCAATGACAGCTACCAGCATCTTAGGAGACGTTGACTTAAGCTAGTACAGGGAAGTGGAGTAAATGCCTCTGTAGCAAGTGCCCCATTTCTTTCCATTTAGAATCTGTGATTATTCTGTAACACTTAAGCTGTCTCTTAGCAATTTTGGAACACAGGTAAGATAGTGATAATATCATCAGTGAATAATTTACTTGGCTAACTGGCACCAGGCTGCCAACTTCTACTCTCATTTTTCACCAGTTGACTCACGACCTTGTCTTCACGGACTAACTAGGAAGGATCAGGAGGACTGAGTTAGCCTTCATCGAGTGCTTTCTGTGTGTCGGGCATCTTATATACATCATTTCATTTAATAGTCACAACGAGATGGGTATTATTGCCATCTTACAGATGAGGGAAATAGGCTGACAGGAGCTTGGTCAGAGCATAGAGCTGGCTATACCACCCATGCATTTTTCTTCACTATACCATTGTCTGGCCATATATCCAACAATGGACACACGAACAAATCCTAATTTTCCACAGCAGCAGAAGCCTGGAGTGACCTGGCTGATGGACATCTCCTATGCGTTTTGGTCCATAGTCTCACACTCTTCTTTCAACCTTAATTAATAACAAGTCAAACAGGTGTCTGATTGATTTTCTTTTTGTGTCCTCTGCTTGAAATTCTGTTTAAATTTTGGTGAAAAATTTCCACCAAGACTTAAAGTGAAACCAGACAGTGATCCATCAGCAACCTAACTGGACTCACACAGGCAGTGTCCTGGGTTAGCATCCCAGGACTTCTCTGAGCATGCCAGGTGCATGTACACTTGTGATCTGGCCAACTGAGACAAGAACTGGATCATGGCATGAAGATCCTGTGGAGGGTGCTTCCCTCTCTCTGCTTCAAAAATACAACTTTTCATAAAAGGCATGGTGTTATGAGTCTGATTAGTTGGGTGTGTCCATCTTGAAGGCGAGGAGGATGAAGGTCTCGGCAGACCTACACAGTTGTTTGGACAACCTGCCCACACGCTCAGTTCCCTTCTTGGCTTGATGGCATTTCCCCCCCCCCCCCCCCCCTCACCGGGGGGGGTATTTCAAGTAGACAGACTTAGGCCCAGCTCCAGAAAGAAACTTCCAAAATCATCCACTGCCCGTGGACATCCGACAGAGACCTTGAAGAAGCATTGTATCACCTGCTGGATGGAGTTGGTGTTGCTGAGCTGAGTGGACCCTTTAAGGGTTCATACAGCCCGGTTGACTCCTTTTACAGGAGGGTGGCTGTCGGTGACCTGCAGCAGGAGCACCACCCAAGGTCACTCACTTAATCAGAGGCAGAGCTAGGGCAGAATCCAGATGTCCTGCTCTGGGTCAAAGTCCTCAAGTGGGGAACCAGCAGTTAGCGTAGTGGCTATGTCGCTGGACTCCCGTGTAGCCAACAGTGGTTCGTGTCCTGGACCCAGTGACTTAAACTCATGCTGGGTGCATGTGCATGCGTGCCCAAGATTCTGAGAGCAGAATGGAGGAGAAGGGATTGCGGCGTGGCCATCCCCCCCCGGGCTGATTTCTTTCTATCTCTCTGTCTCTCTCTGTCTTTCTGATGAGCGCATGCACGAAAAACCCCCCAAAAAAAAAAAAAAAAAAAAAGTCCTCAAGTGGGTAGCGATTAAACAGGCAACGAAACAGCCTTATTCAGAACCTTGAAAGGAGAGTGTTAAAAATATCAGCCAAGGCTACTTTAGGCCATCAATCTTAAAAATAAACTGCACTAGAATAAAAATACGATGTATAGCATTGCAGAGTTAAGAACGATCTCAAAACTCGTTCCTCTCATCTCCACCCCCTAATTTGCAGGATGCTACCATGCGTCAAGCGTGTACCAGGTTGGTTGAAGGAAGAGAGAGGGCTGTGGCCTAGTGCGTAAGACATCAGGATCCCACATGGTTGACCCTGCTGTTTGAATACACGGCTCGAGAAACACCTGGGTGAATGTATGTGTGTGCTGCAAATCCCGAATGGAGGGAGTAAAGGAAAAGTGAGTGCGGTGTGACCATTCCCCAGAGGGGCTCCTTCCCTCTCCTTTTCTGTCTCTTTGTTGCTCTCTGATGAGTACACATGACCCCCTGGCAAATTAAAATCAAAAAGAGAGAGAGGGAGGGAGGAAGAAAGAGGGAGAAAAGGAGATAAAATGAAGAGAGGGGAAAGGCAGAGAGAAGGGAGAGGGAGAGACCAAAAGAATAATCCCATAAGCAGTGAAGTGCTTTGCCAAGAAGGGACAACTGCAAGGTGAGCAATGACAGGCAGATTGAATGAGAAGATGAGACAGTTTGCTTTTGGCTTTGTTTTCCCATCCCTGCATGAAGTCTCAAGTTTAGAACATTCTCATACAATTAAGGTGGTCACCATTGTCACTCCCTAGAAGTCAAAGAACATCTGAATCTACAGGGTGAGAAGTACAGCCTCGAGTCCATTACAACCACCTGCTAAGTCCTTACAGGAAACTCAGACGATTGGTCAGACACAGGCCACATCTCCTGAGCAGCCATAAAGCCACACATAGCTCACCTTCATAGGAAACAATGATAAATATCTTAGGAAATATTGCTTATTGGGAACAAGTCACACTGTTCCTTAACACGAGGACAAACAGGAAGGCCGTCGCTCTGTGCTCAGCACCAGGGCACTGTCTGACCTACAGCAGATGCTCAAGCCCTGCTTTGTAGAATCAGTCAGCAGGCTGTCCTGAGCAAGCCCCCTCTTCTGATAAGAGAATGCCAGAAAACCCGAGTCAGGAAGGAAAAGCCCTTACTATGTGCCAGGGCACCAAACAACACCAGGAGGAGTCGGGGGAATCATAGTGGAGACTACTCTATCAAGTGGCCTCTTGGAAACTCTCCACAGTTCTGAGATGACGTACCTGCGGGGGCCAGGCTATAGCCCTGATGAGGCATGTCACCTGCCAGAAGCCCTGTTGCAGGACATGCCCCAGGCTTATAGAGAGGAGCTGTGAGGAGGATGAGATCTGCAAGCTCAATGATGAGGACACATGGGCCAAGGACAATGCCCAGGGAGGAGGTGACCCTCCTGTGTGTGGGCACTGGCTTAGCCCTTGAGGAATTTACGGTCTGTGGGGAAGACATGAATTTCACACAGAATCAGGGCATGATGACTGGCCAGTGCCACAGGGGTGGTTGTCTTATGAGGGGCTCTCACCTTGTGTGTTTGAGAGGCAGGAGCTCCAGGGTGACCTGGGAATCTGCCTTTCTGGCAAGTCTCTAGGTGACACTGAAGATTCCAGTCCAGGGTTAACACTTTGAAATCCTTGAACAGAGTTATGTGAATAGAAGTAATTCTGACTGGTGGGGAGGACAGATTTGGGGAAGCACCAAAGCCTGAACAGAGTTTTTGTTTGTTTGCTTTTTAGGTGTTTCCATTGTGCACACGCACTCACCAGAGAGAGACAGAGAGAGGGAAAGGGAGAAATCACCCCCCACCCAAGGTGGATGGCCATGCTGCAACCCCTTCTCCATTCTCCTCTTAGGGTTTTGGGCACACACACACCACTGGTGTGATTTTCAAACCAGTAGGTCTGGGACTCGAACCGCTGTTGACCATGCAGGAGTCCAAGCACCTTAACTACTATGCCATCTGCTGGCCCTCTGAACAGAGGTTTGGGGGAGGAATGGGAGTTGATTAGATTAGGCAAAAGAAAAGCCACTGCAGGTGTGGGGAAGTGCGTGAACAGAGACCAGGATTAGCTTGTTGGGTCTGAGGGACCACAGGTGACGTGGAGGTTGACAGATACCCATGGAAGCCCGGCAAGCAGGATGACAGGACTGGAAGCTGCGGCTGTCTTCAAGGGAACCAGCATTGACATCCCAGGCCTAATTAACAGCTCTAGCTTTGTGAAGGATAGGGCATTTCCCTAACCCCAGCCCCAAGCAGAAAGAGAGGCTGGCTATGGAACTGCTGGCTCTCTCCTGGCCCGTTTCTCTGGCAGTCTTGGGGTCAGGTGGGGTAAACTGCAGCTGCGCCTCACTTTTCTTCTGCTTTCAGAACAAGCTACAGACTTTTTCCCTCCTTTGGTGGCTTTGCTAAAGCCTGTAGAATATGTCCCTGTATTGACCCGGGCTCTAGACCTTGCCAGCCTGGAAGAAATTAGGTCAGTTTACTCACCACTGATGCCATAAAAGCAGCTTTCTTAATGGGAGCCTTGATGAAGGGTGGGGCAGGAAGGAGCTGAGGTCACCCTGGAGGAGAACACCACAGGCTGCTGAGGGTTCTGAAGAAAGGTGGGCCCCTGGGCAGGGTTGTCCAAGGCCTTTGAAGTTCCCTTTTATGGAGTTTTATGACCACATGCAGAAGTAACTTGTATCTGCAGGCAGGTGCACTTTGCCTTCAGGAGCACAGAGCAGTGGAATTCACTAGATAGGGTCAGTCAGAAGGGGAGGGCTGAGGATCAGAGACAAGCAGGAGGAGGTGCAGTTGTGGGGCACTCCATGGCCCCCTGCTCCCTTTTTCAGGCTCTCTGCGATCTTGGTACAGGTCCCACTGGAGCCAAATCATCCTCTTGGGGATGGTTCTGACAAGCCTGGGAATGCCTGAGGACTTACCAAGAAGAGGCGGGAAGAGCAGGGGTCAAAGACATGTATTCCTTAGATCCGACAGGGCACCCAGTCCATGCAACATCAGAGTTGAGGTGGAGGTGGCTATCTGAGGAGTCATTTGCCTTCGTGGTTTCAAGCAGTCCTTTCCAAACACCTGTGCCTTACCAGCCGTCCCAGAATAAGACACCTGATAAATGCAGATTCCTGATCCCACAGATCTGAGGTGGAGTTCACCGTTTGTGGAAAGGCACCTGGGTGAGACCGATGAGCTACCAGATTTCAAAAGCCCTTACCTGAAGATCTAAATGCAGGAGGAATTATGGAGTAAGTGGTCTCTGAAGAGTGAGCTTGTTCCCCAAGTGCTCGTTGCCAACCCATAGCATCACCGGTGGGGGCTTGTGGGAAATGAAGACTGTGAGGCCATCTGGAGCAAAACCTGCATT